ACACTAATACACATACCCATAAAACTGTGCCAAATTGATAAATAATAAATTAAATATGTGTTGCGCTCCACCTATTAACTTACAACTTTAAATTAAATTAGATAACACCATATGATAATATGTAAAAGTCATATAATATGGTGTGCCTCCTATACCAATCCTCAAACGTGCTAGAATTCCAAAAATCTAATATATAATATTAATAAATATACAGTAATACCTCGGTTTAAGAATTTAATTCGTTCCGCAGGACTTTTCTTACAGCGAAAAATTCTTAAACTGAAATGCCGTTTCCCATAGGAATGCATTGAAAACCAATTAATCTGTTCCGGAGATCAGAAAAAAGTAAACACTAATAAATACCGCATGAGTTATTTTATCAAGTCATGCGGCATTTTAGTAGTGACAACCATGTGTTAATATTTCAGCTGTCAGCGGGGTTCCCCACTGACAGCTGAATGTAAAAGAATTGCCGGCAATTAAAAAAATTATTTAAAAAACTGCGTGGGGTCCCCCTTCCCATCCATACCAAGCCCTTCGTGTCTGGTATGGATTTTGAGGGGAACTCCCACGTCAAAATTTAAAACAAAATGGCGTGGGGGACCTCCCCAAAATCCATACCAGACCCTTTTCAGAGCATGCAGCCTGGCAGGTCAGGAAAGGGGGGGCAAACAATGTTTCTTTTTAGTTTCTTAAAAGAAACAACATTTCCGTAAACTTTGGGGAAAGTGGCAGCTAATTCTGTGAGCTGTAGTGAACAAAAAAAAAAAGAGCCAGCAATTCCATTTAAAAATCTGCACTGACATACACTTCATATTGCAAAAAAAATTCATACAAAATTTGTAAACCGAGGCATTATTTTCAGTGGATTTTCATTTGTAAACCGAAATTACTTTAACCGAGGCGTTTTTTAAACCGAGCTATTACTGTATATAAATGTGATAAAGTGAATCTGTGCTAGAAATCCATATGATTCAGAAAACTTCATATATATATATATATACACCAATGTGCCAAATAATCAAGATATTCAATATGCAAACAATGTGCAACACTAGCAATTAAAAAAAGTGCAATTAACTGTGCAATTAGACCAAAAAAAATATACATTGAACATATGCCAAAAAATATGTAAAATAATTAAAAAATTAAATTATTATAAATTAAATAATATATAGTCCACTCTGTGATGCAAATCTTGCTGTGCTGAAAATTATGCGCTCAGCTCACTTATAGCCAAACCGTCAAGTAAGGCTATAATAACTTTTTTGTCCTTATCTAGAAAATATCCTCTTGTCCAGATAAGGGCAAAAAAGTTATTATAGCCTTACTTGACGATTTGGCTATAAGTGAGGTGAGCGCATAGATTTTCATCACAGAGTGGACTATATATTATTTAATTTATAATAATTAAATTTTTTTATTATTTTATATATTTTTTGGCATATATTCAATATATATTTTTTGCTCTAATTGCACAATTAATTGCACTTTTATTCTAATTGCTAGTGTTGCACATTGTTTGCATATTGAATATATTGATTATTTGGCACATTGGTGTATATATATGAAGTTTTCTGAATCATAATGATTTCTAGCACAGATTCACTTTATCACATTTATATATATTTATTAATATTAGATATTAGATTTTTGGAATTCTAGCACGTTTGTAGATTGGTATAGAAGGCACACCATATTATATAACTTTTACATATTATCATATGGTGTTATCTAATTTAATTTAATTTAAAGTTGTAAGTTAATAGGTGGAGCGCGACACATATTTAATTTATTGTTAAACACCCGACCAGTGTAGTGCCTTACACTATACCGCTCTCACATAAAAATCCAGGGCTATGAACTCTCATAAGGCATAGCACATAGGGTACACAAAGGATGGAAGCGTGGCGAGGTCATTACAAGTACGGCGATGATCGCCGCCATCTTTGTTTGCTCTATGTGTTATGCCTCATAATGGTTCATAGCCCTGGATTTGTATGTGAGTGCGGTTTTATTATTTACTTGTCTGTGAAATACAATTGGTTGCATTCTGAGAGGCTCATCTCTTTATATTTGAGCACATCCCTGAGTTGGATACTCTCTGGATGAGATACCCACCAGCCCTGATATGTAGAGGAGGAGATGCCCACCAGCCTTGACATATAAAATCAATGGAGGGTCTTGGCGCGAATAGCTTGGGAGGCATCCCCATTGAAAGCAATTGTCGGAACCTAGGACACCCCCCCCCCTCCACTGCTTTCCTTGCACCCACAATGCAGGTACCCCTAAACTGCCTGTATTTTTATAAAGTGAATGCTGTATTAAAGTGGACCTTCACCCTAAAGGTCATGTCATGTTGCCCTGCCTCCTCCCCCCTTCCTGTCCTACAATTGAACATTACCTTTTTTAACTAATATCTATGTTTTTTGCCCATGTGACAGTTGTGTTTCTCCCCCGCACCCTGCGCATGTGCAGATGTGCTGCAGGGCTTGGAGTCCCAGGCAAGCCCTATGGCACAGCTGCACAAGCGCTGGTTTCCCCAACCATCTGCACACACACAGGGTTTCCTACGTATGCACAAAGATTGCTATCAGAGAAGACTTAGGCCCCATGTACACGGGACACTTCTGAACGATCGAAAAAGACTGCTGGAAAATGTAGGCTAAAAAACGTCTGTTCAGCCGCGTTTGCATAACATGTTTATGCGCCTTTGCCTTTAAAGATAAGCACAAGAGAACCTCCCAAATGCCCAGAATGCACTGAAAAGTGGTAAATTATGAACTATTTCAGACTGTTTCAGAGAAATACAGAGAGTAGAAGCAGAGACAGCAGTATGTGTTGAGATTAGCTTAGGCGTGAGTTGCTCCTTAACATTTCTTTTGTTTCCAAGGGTGGGAGAGGTGTCTGGTGGAGGGAGTCATTAAGGTCACCTGGCAGGGGGTCTTCATGAGGAATTTGAGGTGTGAATGTCATTAACAAATCTTTTGTTTCCAAGGGTGAGATAGGTCTGAGGTGTGAATTGGTCATTACAATGTGTGACAAGCTTGGTAGGAACATCCTGTGTTCAGTGTTTTGTCCATCTGAGTACCTTGAAAACACTTTGCATGCATTTTTCATGATTAAAAAAGGCTCTGGACAGCATCGGGAACTGGAAGAGTTGAAAAAAATTTTCAGACGCAAATGCTTATAAACGCAATTTGCAGCGTTTAGCCACGTTTTGCGTTTGAAACGCTGATAAAATCGACTGCTGAATGCAAGTTTTATGCAAGTATTCAAAAAAATGACTGTAAACTCAAATGCCTGTAAACGTCTGTAAACAAACAAGTGTACACGGACACATAGGAAAACATTAGGGAGAGTTCAGGGGCTGCTGAAAAAACGCAGAAAAGCTCCTAAACGTGAGTTTATCAGCTGCAGTGTACATGAGCTCTTAAACCTTCCCAGTCTCTGGCCATGCACAGAAAATCACCTGTGTGTGCAGATGCCCCCCAAGGGAGGTACAGAGCAAAACTAAAGTTCCACTTTAATAAATACTGAGCTGCATTATTTGGCTCTTTTCTATCTACCTAAAGTTCAGCCAAAAACACAGATCCCCTACCTACCCCAATGAACAAAACTGTATAAGAACCTTCCAGACATAAACATATCACCACTTCAGAATGTCGTCCAATCCATTGCTCTGTTATCAGTCATGTGACACATTGCAGAGTCCTGCATTAGGATCCTGAACAGGAAGTCAGCTGTGTACAGGAAAATGTCTTCCCCCTAGGACCTGGATTTTATCTTCAGTTCTGACAAACTCCTAAACCTCCTTCTTTCTCATTCTGCTCCGCTATTAATGGCCCTTCTTTACAAACCCGCCTTATGTTTGGGATTACCGGCCCTTTAACTATTTCTGGATCTCCCATTCCCTCAAAGGACATCACAGAACGGCAAACCACAGCCTAAAATCAGCGAAAAGTCCACAAACAACACACCCAAAAAAACCCCGAGACTCCAAAATTCCACCTGCAAAACCGCAGGAGAGAGAGAGGCCTGAAATGTCACCTTCGTCTGACTGCGCCATTGTTCACCAGAGAATCCGACAGAGAGCGAATATCGCTCACCAGGAAACAGAACCATATGGACTAAAATACAATGAACCCCAAGAGGCTGCAGAACATCGCTATGCCCCCCCCCCCCCCCATCACAACCATACTGATAAATTCTGCAGATTATTCCATCACTGAGCACTCTAGAGATCTGGAGCCCCTCACTCCGTCCCATCTCTCCCCGACAGATACAGATTTATATAATCTGAGGATTATTTTTTGCTGACCTAATCTGCAGAGCATTGCTCCATCTACCTTCTGACAGACACATACTAATATATTCTGCATATTATTCCATCACTGACCCCTTTAGAATTCTGCAGAACATTGCTTCATTCCATCTAACTCCTGACATACATATTATTATATTCTGCAAATGATTCCATCACTGCCCCTTTAGAGATCTGCAGAACATTGCTCTGTACCATCTCCCCCCTGACAGATAGATTTTTATATAATCTGCAGATTATTTTAGCACTTACCTCTCTAGCAATCTGCAGAGCGTTGCTCTGTCCCATCTACACCCTAACAGATACATATTAATATATCCTGCAGATTATTCCATCACCAACCCCTTTAGAGATCTGCAGAACATTGCTCCATTCCATATCCCTAATGACAGATCCATATTAATATATTCTGCAGATTATCCCTTCAATGACCTTTCTAGAGATCTGCAAAACATTGCTCCATCCAATCTATCTCCTGAGAGATACAGATTTATATTCTGCAAGTTATTACATCATTGGCCCCTTAAAGTGTTACTAAACCCAGGACCCTGCATTCACTATATCCGCTTTCCCTGGACCCTGTATTCACTATATCTGGTCTCCCTGGACCCTGCATTCACTATATCTGGTCTCCCAGGACCCTGCATTCACTATATCTGATCTCCCAGGACCCTGCATTCACTATATCTGGTCTCCCCGGACCCTGCATTCACTATATCTGGTCTCCCTGGACCCTGCATTCACTATATCTAGTCTCCCCGGACCCTGCATTCACTATATCTGGTCTCCCTGGACTCTGCATTCACTATATCTGGTCTCCCTGGACCCTGCATTCACTATATCTAGTCTCCCCGGACCCTGTATTCACTATATCTGGTCTCCCTGGACTCTGCATTCACTATATCTGGTCTCCCAGGACCCTGCATTCACTATATCTAGTCTCCCAGGACCCTGTATTCACTATATCTGGTCTCCCGGACCCTGCATTCACTGTATCTGGTCTCCCTGGACCCTGCATTCACTATATCTGGTCTCCCCGGACCCTGCATTCACTATATCTGGTCTCCCTGGACCCTGCATTCACTATATCTAGTCTCCCCGGACCCCTGTATTCACTATATCTGGTCTCCCGGACCCTGCATTCACTATATCTGGTCTCCCCGGACCCTGCATTCACTATATCTGATCTCCCAGGACCCTGCATTCACTATATCTGGTCTCCCCGGACCCTGCATTCACTATATCTGATCTCCCAGGACCCTGCATTCACTATATCTGGTCTCCCGGACCCTGCATTCACTATATCTGGTCTCCCTGGACCCTTCATTCACTATATCTGGTCTCCCAGGACCCTGCATTCACTATATCTGGTCTCCCCGGACCCTGCATTCACTATATCTGGTCTCCCTGGACCCTGCATTCACTATATCTGGTCTCCCGGACCCTGCATTCTATATCTGGTCTCCCAGGACCCTGCTTATATATCTGTCTCCCGGACCCTGCATTCACTATATCTGGTCTCCCCGGACCCTGCATTCACTATATCTGGTCTCCCAGGACCCTGCATTCACTATATCTGATCTCTCCGGACCCTGCATTCACTATATCCGGTCCCCCGGACCCTGCATTCACTATATCTGGTCTCCCAGGACCCTGCATTCACTATATCTGATCTCCCCGGACCCTGTATTCACTTTATCTGGTCTCCCCCCGGACCCTGCATTCACTATATCTGGTCTCCCCGGACCCTGCATTCACTATATCTGGTCTCTCAGGACCCTGCATTCACTATATCCGGTCTCCCCGGACCCTGCATTCACTATATCCGGTCTCCCTGGACCCTGCATTCACTATATCTGGTCTCTCTGGACTCTGCATTCACTATATCTGGTCTCCCACAGTACACAGAAGTGCAATTATTTTAGTAAATATGAACGGCTAAATACCTTTTCTCATCAGCAATATGTAGCAGTCTTGTGACTTCTATCAGTGTCCGGCTGAGCACTGGTTAAGGCTTGTAGGAGGAGTTTTCATTCTGCTCTAGGAGGATGCATAACCCCTGATGCTCTGTCTGCACAGTGCTGATTGGCCCTGTGCTGATCACATGCAATGCACTCTCCCAAGAAGAAAAACAGCTTTCTAGTAATACACACTAAGCTGAGCATGTGCAGAGTGACCCCCAGAGCTCTGTACTATCAGCATATGGATTGGGAACAGTAGAAGCAGAGGAGGATCAGAAGAGACAGGATCAAACAGCCTTTTTACACAATGCAGAGGATTAACCCCTTAGGTTCCACAGTGAGTATAACTAGCATGCTTCACTGCATATACAGACTGATTTTATTGTTGTGGGTTTAGTAGCATTTTAAAGCTGAACTTCACCCAAAAGGGGAAGTTCCGTTTGTTTGCCTCCTTTCCCCCCTTCACTGCCACATCTGGCTCTTTTTGGGGGGTACCGGGTTTTGACATGTACCATCTCCCACTCCGGGTAAGATCGCCACGGTGACCTTTCAGCCCCTCCCCCCCCCCCCCCCCGAAGCTTTCTTTGACACACACAGGTCCCAGAAGACTGCGGGACCAGTCACACAGCTTCCGCATGCGCAGTAGGAACCGGCTATGAAGGCAGAAGGCTTCACTGCTGGTTTCCCTTACCCAAGATGTCGGCTCCTGCACCTGAAGCCGGTTCGGGTAAGGACATTGCTGGATCTCCAGACAGGTAAGTGTCCTTATATTGCGCCATCCAGTCTCTCTCCTGACAGATCTCTATTAATATATTCTGCAGATTATTCCTTCACTGACCTTTATAGAGATGTGCAGAACATTGCTCCATACTATCTATCCCCTGACAAATACATATTTATATTCTGCAAATTATTATATCATTGGCCCGTAAGAGATCTGCAGAACATTGCTCCATCCAATCTCTCACCTGGACAGATCCGAATGAATATATTCTGCAGATTATTCCTTCACTGACCTTTCTCGTGATCTGCAGAGCATCGCTCTGTCCCATATTCCTCCTGACAGATGCATACTGATATATTCTGCAGATTATCCCGATATTGATTGATCTTATCCACATATTTTTGCTTTCTGCTTACAGCAGAATTGTCTCTTTGTTTTTCTCGCTGTTATCAGCGCCGTCACCTGAACGATCCCGATATTATTGCCCTTTATTACTCTCCTGATTGACTTCCTTTTAATAAATCACACAGTAATTCGTTTAGCTGCTGGAGTCGATGTCCATACACTTTTACTTGTAAACATTTTCAGCTCATCACTAATGGCAGTCAGATGTATTCTACCTACAAGACTCCACATATTTCATTGTATTTCTAGTTTTGCCTGGAGCGCAGAGAAGCTCTGTCATTTTTTTTTATTGATAGCTCTGTCCCTGTTGGAAAGATTTCCTTTTGTGTTCTGTACTGGTGACCACAAAGGAAGTATTAACCGACAGCAAGAGAGCTTCTAACCTTTCTTTCCTCCTTCCAAAGAATGCAGCATTGCAACTCTGTAGCAAGTCACAAGGTGAGAGGCTGCAGCAGGGGCTGATCTGTGTTGGACATTTGTGAACACAGAAAAGAACTGCACAGACCCTAGGATTTACATGATTGTGTCATCTTTGAGACCTTATCTCAGCCCAAGAAGAAGGTGGTGGCCCTGGTGATATCTGAACAAAGATGACACTGTCCTTCTGGAGAGAAAAGCAGATGAAGGCCTTGTCAGGGGGAGTAGTATGTTCTCTGTGAGAGGTAATAAATACCTGAGAGTGTTACACTGACATTACTGAACATGCTGCACGTAACATGAAATATACATCTGATGACAGGTCCACTATAATAAATGTCCTTCCTGCAAAATGTTCAGTATTCCTCCACCATTTCTGCACCATCCAGCCCACAAATGATGACCGATTAGCCCCAAGTCACCATCTGTAAGCCGCAGAACTCGTCCTGTCACACACCAGCTGGAAGAGTTGTATTCCTCCAGTTTTGGGAAGATTTTGTTTATTGACCTTGTCTCAGGTGAAAGAGGAAATAAGAAGGCGGATTATCACTTCCCCCTTCTACCCTAAATGGACTGATATATGGCCCAATCTGTGCTGAGCGCCATTTATGGGGCCATCAATCACCTGTACGGGACGGGGCTCATCGCCATCATCTACATCTCTATATGGAGCTCTGTACTCTCAGCGATCTGGAAACCTCCAACAACCTGAACAGCAATAAAGGGATTGTCACTGTTCAGAGGTGATGTCACAGTCACATGACCAGCTAGCGCTTTCTCCGTCAGATCCTGCGATGAGCTCAAAACCCAGGAAACAGCTCAAAGCGACACTAAGCGCCACGATTCATTCGATCTGGTGCTGAAGTGTGTCAAGAATGTACCCTGCGCAGCTCAGTGTACAGTCTAAGACTTCATTTACATTTCATGTTGGGGGGCTGTAAAAACATCCTGAGCCACATTTTTACTACCCCAAACATTCCTATTTAAGCTGTAAAGGCATCAGACGGGGGTAGTACAGTACATATGCTGCGGCCACAATGGTTTGCATTTGCTGTGGTAAACTTTGTCCCTACTATCACCATTAGCGGGTGAACCACGCACCGAACTCCACCAATTCAAATGAATGGGGTCACACCACAACATGAGCAATGCATGCAGTTGAGGCATAATGGGACACGTTTTAGGGGTTCAAACACACAGTGAGGAGGCAGCATAACACCTCATCACCGCCTGTCAAATGCTATCAGTGGGGCGATCCATTGTAGATCACTCTTCAGAAGACAACACAAGTGTAAACAAACCCTAAAGGAAACTGCTGCAATCAAGAAGGTAAGTTTGTGTTACTGCAGGAGAGACACAGCATGCATCTTCTGGAATAAAACAGTCGGCCGGATCCCAGTTGTTTTCTGTTGCCCATTAGATCCACTTTAAGTCAATATCCATTGTACAAACTATAGATCTAGCCATCAACTATGTATTGCAAGAGCCGGTCTAATGTGATATTAACAGAAATGGTTGTTTAGCTTTGTCCTGATGTATTCCTTCACATCACAGAGCTCTGCCTTTACTTAGCAGTCCCCCTTTTATATCCTAGTCCTCCCTTTACATCACACAGTACCCCCCCCTTTACATCGCAGTCCCCCCTTTACAGTGCAGTCCTCCCTTTACATCGCAGTCCTCCCTGTACATCACAGTTCCCCAATTACATCGCAGTCCCCCCTTTACATCACAGTCCCCTATTTACATTGCAGTTTGTTAGAGAACATTAGTGAACAAACAGCATGATGAAGGCCAAGGAACACACCAGACAGGTCAGGGATAAAGTTGTGGTCTTTGTAGGTTTGCAGTTTGTGGTCTTTGTAGGTTTGCAGTTGTGCCATACCGTTTCCATTTTCAGATGATGGATTGAACAGTGCTCTGTGAGAGGTTCAAAGCTTGGGATATTTTTTTATAACCTAAAAATATTTAAACATCTCCACAACTTTATCCCTGACCTGTCTGGTGTGCTCCTTGGCCTTCATGATGCTGTTTATTCACTAATGTTCTCTAACAAACCTCTGAGGGCTTCACAGAACAGGTGTATTTATACTGAGATTAAAGCACTGAGATTAAAGCACACACAGGTGGACTCTATTTACTAATTAGGTGACTTCTGAAGGCAATTGATTCCACTAGATTTTAGTTAGGGGTATCAGAGTAAATGGGGCTGAATACAAATGCACTCCACACTGTTCAGATATTTATTTTTAAAAACTTTTGAAAACCATTTATCATTTTCCTTCCACTTCACAATTATGTGCCACTTTGTGTTGGTCTATCACAAAAAATCACAATAAAATACATTTATGTTTTTGGTTGTAATATGACAAAATGTGGAAAATTTCAAGGAGTACAAATACTTTTTCAAGGCACTGTGGGAGAAGGTCAGAGACTGCAAACATGTACAGGAAATGGTGACAGACTGCAGACATACTACAAGAGATGGTCAGAGACTACAGGCTTGCTACAAGAGATGGTCAGAGACTGAAAACATGATACAAGAGATGGTCAGAGTCTGCACACATCATACAAGAGATGGACAAAGACTGTAAATGTATTACTGGAAATGGTCAGAGACTGCAGATATATTCCAGGAAATGTTCAGAGACTGCAGACATATAATGGGAGATGGTCAGAGATTGCAGACATATTACAGGAGATGGTCAGAGACTGTAGACATCTTACTTGATATGGACAGAGACTGCAGACATACTACAGAAGATTGTCAGAGACTGCAGATGTACTACAGGAGATGGACGGAGACTGCAGAGACAGCAGATATACTAAAA